CCCCCCCCCCAGTACCTCGTCCAGGCAGCGCTCGTACGTCTCCCGCTGGTTCTCGTTGGCCTGGGCCAGGGCCGAGTTCTCCGCCTGGGGACAGAGCGGGGACGGCTCAGGGGACATGGTGGGGTGCCCAGGGCACCAAGGGGACCCCTCCTCTGCCTGGTGGGACCCAGGGCCGCACATGGAGGGACAGGGCTGCCCCAGGAGCTGTGGCACACAAGGGCCACGGACGGCAGGAAGGTGCTGCCCCCTCACCGTGGTATCTGGGCTGCTGGCTCCGTGGCATGGGCCACGGCTACCTCAAAGCACCAACTGCACAGCAGCAGTGGCCACGGTTGCCCCGTGGCACCAACCACAGCTGCCCGAAGGCAATGGCCAAGGATGCCCTGGTGGCCCTAGTGTCTGGTGGCCATTGGCTGCCCAGCGGCACCAGCCACAGCTGCCCGGTGGTCCCGGCTCTTGGTTGCCCCATCTCCCAGCCCCCACTGTACCTCCAGCTCCCGCAGCCGCTGCAGCAGCTCATGGCTGGTGTCCGTCTCGCCGAGCACCGTGGGGCTCCCGTCTCCCGGCACCTCGGCCACGCTCTCCGACATTGCTGGCTGCAGGGGGACAGGCGTCAAGCCGGGGTCCCCACTGACCCCTAGCCGATGTCCCCCTGGCCCGTGGCACTGCCAGGCCCTAGGTAGCCCGGACCCCCCTTACCTCGCTCGGGATGTCCCCAGCCCCGTCCCTCCGTAGTGTCACCTGCAAGGGAGAACGGGGCTGAGGAGGGGAACCCCGAACCCACTGGCACCGGCACCCAGAGCCACAGGGACCCCCTCCTGCAGCCCAGCCACCCTTGCCCCTTCCCGGGGTGTGCACGGACCCTGCGACCCGTGCTGGTCGCAGAGCACCGGAACACACAGCACCCCCGGGACCGGGACCACCCCCGGGGCACCAGGATGCACAGCACCCCCGGGGGCTGGCACCGGCCCCGGGGCACGAGAATACGCAGCACCCGGCACACAGGACCCCCGGGGGTGCAGAAGGGGCCACCCCCGGTGCCGCACAGGGCGTCGTCCCCCGGTACCGGTGCCTCCCCGCACCGCTCACCCCGTGCACGCCGGAACAGGGGCCGACCCCGAGCACCGGCCCCGCT